GCCGTAACGACTTTAGATGATTACAACACGCTCCCCTACCCTTCACTTCATCCCTAACCCCGTCCCTCCATCCCCTCTGTGTTTCGCAATGTATTCTGGGCTGAAAGTGCAGAGAATTTCCCCTCGCTGCTCTCGGCATTCATTCAAATGTCAGAAAAGGCAACATGGCCCATTAGTGCAATTTGTCATCAGTAGAGAAACCTCGAAGCTGGCAGCCGAGTGTGGGAACGTGGAAATAAAAAAACAACAAAACGAAGAACAGCTTTTTATGTTATTGAATTCAAGAATCTTTCTAATAACTTATTTGGCAGTATGTTACATCAATATTACAGCACTTACAGATCCAGAGTACATTAATTCCTAATGACTGTCTGGCATAAACTTGTGAACTGGTAGAGTTGTTTGAGACGGACATGAAAGTAGAATTGGTGCAATGCTAAAAATAGTGATGTAATAGAGTCACAGCGAAAAACAGAAAATATCAATATCACTTTTGCAAATACGTGTCCTGTGAATCCACAAGCAGGTTTGAATGCCGACATTCTGAACAACGTATGCTGGAGAGCGCAATATTTGAAATAAAGCCAAGGGAAGCACTGGGGAAGCCAGAAGGTCTGGATAGGTGGGCATGTATGTGTGACATGGTATAAAAAGGTTTTTAAAGTTACCCACAATTTAACTGTAACAGTAGATTAATTATACTTTGTCTCATTGAAAATAAATGGTTTGGCCCTGTTGTGTCCTGAGCCCTGTTAAATGAAAGCATTCAGCTACAACTAAAAACAGGGATGCAGGACACACTGTTCCACAGCCAACACAGTGTGAAACCAGGATACAGTTAGAGAGCAGGTGACAGGGATGGGGAGCTGGATTTGTGATGGCAGAGTTTCGGGCTGGGTTGGACAGACAGACACCTTTTTAATCTCATTATTACTTGACACCTTGGCAATATTGTCTTTGTTACACTCATGCAAATAAAGCATGAAGGAAATGAACTGAGAGAGAAAGAGGAAGAGGGGGATAGTTTAACATAAGTAGAAATGAGAAAAGAAGGAACGCAAGAGAGGATTTGAGTTGATTGCAGTGACAGTGCCGTTGCCCGTGTGTGCATTATTAATTCCCATCTGTTTTGATTACAAAAACATGTGGCAGCAGCTGGGGATTCAGTACCACTAGTATCTGGTTTAAGCTCCTGCATAATTACTATTTGTGTCACTAAACTCAGACATTTTAAAGAAATATTCAAACGTATGAACTATTTGTTGTAATAGTGTACTTATGATAACATCATCTATTACATCTAAACACAGAAACAAGATAATCAATTTGATACTTGAATATGATGATTTCAATATGCTCATGTGTTAGACGTGATGAAAAAGGTATTCAGTGATGAGGTTATTTGTAGCACACAGTGCATCTCCCTCATGGATGAAATATCAATGAAGGAGCCTCTAGAAACATGAGCACATTTAAAGAGAAATATCTGTACGTCATCTTTTCTGTGTTTTCACGTAAAAGAGAGCGCGAGTTCATCTCTTGCACAATGCACACACACATGCACCCGTTGGAGGATTATTATTAGCCTATCAAAAAACTTTGTTTCCATAGTGACTGTTTGAGTCCATTATGGAAAGTGTCTCCTGTTGTTACCAAGACAACAATCCAAGCAATTGCGAACGAATGTGGCGCACAGCTGAGTAATGCGGTGAGCTGGTGATCTCTACATAAACAAGCTCCGCACCAAACCCCGGGGCAGGTGGAGGACTGAAGGGAGGACAATGAGAGCGTTGAAAGAACGGGCAGACATGTTCATGTATGTACCCATTAATTGTACTCGTACACTAATACAACTTCAATAAGGCTTGATACTGCTATACTGTATTTACCTGTACATCATATCCTGCTTGTGTCCAGATACACAGGGTGCTAGCAAAATAATCTACACATTTCATGGATCACATTTACAGAAACTAGCCGCATTGGGTTGCATACCATTAAGCATTGTCATTTCAGTCATCCCTTTTAACTGAAGATCACTGTTGCCCTTGCAAGTTTATCGGTCATATGCTTTCAGAAAGGAGTCAGATTCCCATAAATCTTAAATAATTAATCATTTTCTGGTCAACACACCTGCAAATTTGGCAGCAGATTATTTGGCCTTTGCAGCTTTTCTTTTGAGTGGGATTTGTCCTTTATTAGAGATAGAGATAGATACCGACAAGAAGGAGGGTAAGTTTCCATCAAGACTTTTGTTGCAATAATTGTAACTGTGGAAGTTACTTCAGTCCTTTTCATCAGGCACTTGCAAGATAGTTTCTACTCTGTGTGCATCAATAATTCAAGAGGCGACGGATGGCTTCATAAACTCACAATACACGCTTAGGTGTAATCTTGGATTCAGCTTGTGTTCACACATCTTAATCCTGGGCTAACAAGGATGTGGGTGTTTGTAGAAGGCGCATCAAGTGGAACACCTTGGATAAACATCCTGTCTCATGACACTCAGCACCCATGATTAAGGATCATAAAACAGAGAAGTAGGATTAAAAAAAGTTACACTTAACTGCAGTGCACTCTCAGAGTAATTTGTTCTTCGAGAGCAAACTGGGTTCCAAATTGCTTCTGCCAATTTTGGGAAAGCTGGGCAAGTGCTTCATTGTGGGATGGATAGCAGGACCATTTAGACAGGAGGACCCCAGGAGAGGTCAAGAGGACAGAGATGGTCCTGTCTTGGTGATGGAATATGCTCTATTGTTGTGAGCACCAAATTGCTTTTGGGTTTCGACAAGTGTCCTGCTACCAGAATTAGGTTCCTGCTCACTTGCATAAATATAGGACAGACAGTGTATACTCACACACACTGCCCTAAAAAGTGAAGAGGTCTAAGACAGCTTTCCAGGAAAAGCAGAATAAACAGCAGAGTCACAACACAGACCCATCCAACATGACTCAAAATACCCCAACAGTACTCCACAGTGCAAGACTATTCACAGAAAGCAGGTTTCTGTTGATATGGGATTTAACTTGCCAATGTCTTGCAACAAGACATGTACATTTGTACATTTATACACTTTAATTTTCAGGTCAATCAAAAATACAGAATAGTGCTGAAAACCTTGCATATCAACAAAAAAAAAAAGTGATTAAAAGAATTTTTGCACAACACAAAAATGGACCCATGCCTTTTTTAAGACCCAAAACACAAACATACAAAGACCTCGTTTACGGGCTCTACTGCAGGATGTGAGCGTGAATGGTTGTCTGTCTGTATATGTCAGCCCTGCAAAAGTCTGGCGACTTGTCAGGGTAAGCGGTTAAAGATAATGGATGAATGTAGGAACACATGTTGGCCTGAAGCAGGACTGATCCCAGCGTACATGTGGTACTGAAGTTATGTAATATTAAATGTATGTGTTATAGACACACGCGCATGAACATCGTCACAGCAAAAAGTCTTGTCCTCAAAATAGAAATAAAACTAATTACTCACAGTACAAAAACAGCCCTTCCCCTGCCCAAATGTGTCACACTCACCAGCTGTGCAGACATAAACACACGGTGAAAGAATGAGAAGCTAGAATCCAAGGTTAGAACTGATGTCAATTAAAACTCATTTTTACACGTAGTTAAGTTGCACTGTGTTGAGCAATTTTATATTTATTTTTTTAATTATTGTTGATTAGTTAGATCTAGCTGTATTGTGCCTTGTAAAGTCCATTGACGGATCCTTGAGAATTACCACTTCATTACATAAGTGCATTCTGATGTAATCTAATACAGCGGCCCAGCAATAATTCCTACTTTTATGAAGCGTGTCAGTGGAGGTAATTTATGAGGCTTAATATTAGCGGTGCTGTTTCACTTTGAACTGCATTTCCTTAAGAGGTGTTTCTCATGTTCTGCCTACAATCATTTACATGAAGGGAGCAGAATATGAGCCTCTCAATGTCATGCTTTGTGGCTGGTTTATTGACACTGTGACACAGAGGAAAATCAACAGGTTTCTGATGACACAGTGTCAACAAATTGAGCATTAGAAGCTTCACATAGATGATATTGCAGTACTATTCTATTACTGAAAATCTGCTGCAGGGTTATTGTAATCATTTGCATTAGACTGCATACATTGACTACTTCCAAATAAGCCTGTTTATTTGATGGAAAATATTTTGATTACCAAGAAAAATGGTGTTTGGAGTTTTGTCCCAGACCTGTAAAGGTGCTCGGGACTCCTCCTGTACTCAGCATTATTTTACTTGAATCTGAAGGAAATAGTTAACCAGCATGGACAGACTGTATTCATTGCTTTAAATGTTGTGTTTTACAATTTTTAGAGAGGTTTATATTTAATGCAGGTGCAATTTCATGCCAAAACAAACGCACCAAATTGCACTGCACCACATGATCCACGACATTAAAACAAACTTATCTGTGCCACACCACCTACATTGACATAAGCAAATTTGTTAAGAACCATGAAATTACCAAGGCCTGAAAAAAACAGCGTTGTTGCTACTGCTGGCTTTGCACTGACACAATTACCGAATGTGTGCCGCTTGCACCACATCAGGTTCCCATTAGAGCCTGTTATGTCCGATTAAGCATCAAGCTGTTTATCTAGGGACACTGGCAGGAGCAGCCCAGGATAAATATACTTAGAGCATTGACACGTTAAACCTTATCACGAGTCTTGTAATAAATTCATGGCCAGTCCATCCCTACCAAGTTACGGTCTATTGAGCAATTACACAGCAATCTGCCCAAATACTTGCATGATAATTTATAAAATTCAATTCCACACTAAAGGGTCAGAAACAAAACAAATTCAAATTGTCTGTGCTTCATCAATCTAAGAGAACGGTTAACTGATTCGTATTAAATGCAAAAAACAAGCACCTTTCATTCAAAGCGCGGTTGTGTTATTGTGAGTGTGACAAAGCCAATCATACAAAGCTGAAACACAAGTGGTTTTGCCGCTGGCACTGACAAAAACTTACGTTCCCAGGATCTCTTTGAAGTCAAACTGATCCTTCACGTCTGTGGTCTTCTTTTTCCAGGCATGGCAATCGTCACCCAGTGGCATCTTCTTGGTGTTACGGTCCGAAACAATACTAGTGAAGAAAAAGAGGATAAGGAGAAGAAGCTCATTAATACCAACAGTTTAACTGTTTCCATCTCCAACCTGCAATAAATGCAACACTGCACTTATTGTGCGGCTCACTTTTCTTATATGGTTGATTGTATGAAAGTGAATCAACATTTGGATATTTTTATGACATCCGAGGATTTTTTACAGTGTTTGCACACATCAGTTGTGATGACACACTAACAGTATGCAATACATGATGTCATGTCTGGAAATACTGACAGAGGCAATTAAAGTAGTTAATATTAACCAAGTGTAAAAGACACAAGTTAGATCAGGTCCTATTGTTGTGCGAGCATTACTTTGTTTTGGGGTTGATGGCTGGCGTTTGCATTAGCTCTGTGGGTCACATAAGGAAGTGAAGTAACTAATTGCACAATCGAATCTCATGATGCTAAAAGGACAACTTCTATTTCAGGTTCAAGCAACGAACTGTCCTAATTTTTAAGATATCACAAGCAGCTTGACAGACAGACTGTTGCAGAACCGTTCGGTCTGTTACATAGACGATGGCTAGTGTCTCAGGTGAGTTAAGAATGCGCTAAATGCTTCCTCGCTAAAACAATTTTCACTTCGGCTGCATTTCATCCATTATACTGAAATACTTGCCACAGGTAAATACAGAGTCATCGTTTGTGTAGGCAGTCAAAAATCTTTATGATCGGCAAGCGTGGAATTTATGGCCTGGAGGGCTAAAAGTCATGGCCAATATCTACTGAGGTAATAAGTAAACTATAGTTTCACTCTCGTATCCCGACTGTTGTTGGAGAAGAATGAGTTCAAATATAAAATTTTTATACCACAGCCAAGCAGTGTTAGAGCTGCATTATACCCCGGTGCTTACAATGGTCTCGTCAAACCTACAATGATGTGAGTGACACTTTAAGATGAGCCTCTGTCTGAGGAGGCGCAGATGATTCGAAGAGCCAAAACTCAAATGCTCGCCTGTCTATTAAATGTCAGCTTATGTGTACGGTGTGTGTGTGTGAGACTTAACCGAGCTTGTGTAATGCTCAAGTTTTAGTGAGGTGATACAAAGCAGCTTCACAAACTGGGGCAAATCAAAGCATAAAAAAAAAAAAAAACACTCATTTCCTTTAAGAGTCAAGAAAAGACACAAACAATGTTAATTCTACTTTTGTCTCACTTGCTCGTGTTTTTTCAGAAGAAGCTAACACTCACGCTCACTCACCACGCTCTAAAGAGTGGGAGTGATCAGAGGACCCTGCTGTCACAGCCATCATCATCTAAACCCAGAAAGTGCCTATAACTCTAAGACCTGGAAGACTAAAATAGCCCTGTTCATATCAGCATGCCTCACTCCTCTGTTCCTGCTGCCTGCCTGGCAACTTCACACTCCGTCTGTGTGAGATGATGCAACGTATTGTTCTGGATTGTACAAGAGCAATATCGTTAAAGACTTCAGATGATGGCACAATGAATCATTCCCATATTGGTTCAGAGTCAACTTATTCAAATGCTGAATTGTTAATAAGTGGCATTAACCAGTAGACTCGGGTGGGCGTAACACTGCTTTTATCTCTGAATAAATGTTGATAGGACAGGGCCTCTTCTAGCTGCATTGAGGTGCAGTCACTGATTGCTGCGCGCGCACACACACACACACACACACACACACACACAAACACACACCAATTTGGTGGCCCTCTCGCCGCCTTCACTAATGTCAGAAAGCGGCTTCATACATGTCACCATGGAAACCCCAAAGAGCTGCTACGGTATCCGAGAGACGACATCGCTTTAGTGTCTGATGGCAGGTGGCATCTAAGGTGGAAATCATTACGGTCACTTCGATGGCTGGCTGCAGAGTGTTGTGTTTAGTTTGAAAAAAAACAAAAAAAAAACAACCCACACACATAAGCTGTGTGTGGTTATTGGATATGGATTAGAAGGACATATCACACACAAGCAGTGAAAAACTATACAACCTGACCACATACACACGACATACAGCATCTGATATAAACTCACTGAACAATGTAACCGCAAATATTAGGAACAAAGGGTACAGCTGAACATTTAACCTGATGTCATTCATCATTTCCTCCACTGCATTTTGCATGCCATTTAAAGCAACCATAGTAAAAGGAAGTATCTCTAAACTTGGCATGATGAAACAGCATGCAAAGGCATGTGCTTAGGGGAAGTGTTAAGAGGAAGTCTAGTCTAAAAAAGCCGTAAATATGCCGTACTGGAGCCTCTGTTACTTTAATACCTACTGTAGGGGACAAACAAACAATAGACAGTAGACTGTAACTCTATTCCTCAGCACATCTTCAACTTGACACCGGCCTCTTTCTTTGAGAAGCGAGGATCCATTACCGAGCATGATTTCAAAAAAAAAAAAAAAAAAAATCTTTTCATTGAAAATAGTCTGGAGTAGGACAATGCGTACTAATCCATGTCTAACAATTCAAAAGGATACATGACAGTTTTTATGCAAATAATAGGGTCGTTTTTGTATGTTCTGTAATGTTGAGACTCTTTTGAATGTCTGGATTGGAGGTTGAGGACTATGAGATTGTGGCTAAGTGGAGAGCAGGGCCGTCCTTCAATCAGACAATCGGCGGTTCGATCCCCAGCTCCGCTAGTCGCATGTCGATGTGTCCTTGAGCAAGACACTTAACCCCAAAGTTGCTCCCGTAGCTGTGCCTATACGGTGTGATAGGATCTGAATTGTATAGTCACTTTGGATAAAAGCGTCTGCTAAATGACTGTAATGTAATGTAATGCTTAAACTAACTAGCTTGGCGACACAGAAATATTTCGTGATAATTATACAAATATGAATTGATCATTTATTCAGCGCAAATATCAATCATTTGCTGATTGCAAATCTTAAATGTGAAGATTTGTGAACATTTTATAGACTAAACAGTTATTTGATGCATTGAAAAGATGTATCAAGAAGGATTAAATAAAAACTAAAATAACAGTTGCAGCTCTAACCTCAGTATTATTTAGACAGGCTATTAAAGTACATATTTTTAGAGAGTAGTAACCTTGAGGCTAAAAATAACCTGAACAGGATAAGACCATTTGAAGGAAACACTGAAGTCAGAGAAACAGTGAACACGTCACACACACTGCTTGTTTGTAGCATCTCACCTCGCTCATATGGAGATTCATTGAGATTCATGTTAATTCATGCGCTGAGAATGTGTGACATTGGACATCAAAGTCATTTAAAATCTATGAATGCATCAACGCTTGCTTATCACGGGTTTGTTTAGAAGTCGACAGGAAATACCAACATGCAGCTAAATCTCCTTCAAAACATTTGGATTTCACTTCAATGGCACAAACATCTGGATATTTTTTTACATTAGGCAACTTTATATAACATTTCAAAATAACATATTTCAAACAATTGGAGCTTTCAGGACAAAGTTGAGCAAGGGGGTCTGTTTTTCAAACAAGCAACTGCTGTAAACAGCAGAATACGGTTTAAGTTTAAGGCATGAAGGGGCAAGTTTCAAAATGCGGGATAGAAGAGGAGAGAGACACATGCAGGTATCGTATGAGCATGTAGAAGGCCAAAAACAGCCCCTCCATGTCCACTGATGACATGACTTTTGGCCAACGGGTGAAGATAAGCTGCTCAGAAAAAAACAACCCAAGAAGCAAAAGGATTGAAGCGGCTGGAAATAGGGAGATGCACGATGTCAAAACCACAATCCTTGACTAGTATGTGACATGCAGCATTCATCCTTTACACTAAAGAGTGTCGCTGTACTCACTGGTTTCCCATTCCTGTGATGTGCAGTAGACAGAAGAAACACACACATGTACACACGACCACAGTTAAACGTGACGAAATGACAAGTGAGAACTGTGTTAGAGTGTGACATTTTGTTTGCAATGGTGTTAGAACTTTTTGCAACACGTGCATAAATACACACACACACACACACACACACACACACACACAAATAACCAAACATATAAACAGAAAAACTCATGGAGTTAACATTAAAACCAGATGTCTAACAGTTAAGTTAAAACTTGACCGTGGCTCCTCTTTGTCTTTAAACACTGTCAAATATTGGGTTTTTTTAAGCTTACATTTATGACTATTATTTCATATCTCAGCAGTTAATCTACAGCACAGTTCAAAACTGTGAGAAGATTCTGCTGCCAAGTTAAGCAACAGAGACTTAACTCATGTCAACGGACTGCATTCCTGTTACAGTTTTTTTAATCATTTTCATCTTCTTCTTTTCAGGGCATCGTTAAGTCGGGCGCATAGCTACATCTCTGATCTTTAAAGCTTCCAGAGCTGCAGGAGACATCGGCTGGAAGACCAAAGCTCAGCACTATTTGTCACATCCCGCTACCCACGTTTGGGATCACATTTCATACAGTATAATGAATTTTTGAAGGACGGTAATCCTTTTTATAACTTCTGTCATGTGTTATCTTAGTGGCTTTAATAGCCTCTTACATACAGTTCGAAGAAGTTGGAGCCAGCATAATAAAAACTCCATTTACACATCTAGTACAACGACAACAAAAATGATTCTCTCTCTCACGGTTGAACTGACAAAGTGCTTTTGTCTGCGTGCCAAGAGCAACTTGTTGAAAAGCATGAACACAGGGAGCAGTTAAGAGGCACTTTGAGATTTCCTGTTTGTGATGTATATTTAAGATATGCAGTAATTGCTCATATTTAAGCACTTTCATCCCAACTGCTTGGCCCACTTACTATTTACTTTTTTAAATCTCATGTAGCCTATTTTAACCCATGTCAAGGGACGTTTTTCAAGTGTATGCATGTCTGTGAAGCCTGAGACAAATTCCCATGCGAGTCGACAATAAAGATGTCTAATTCTAACACATCGACCTCATAAACTCATATTGGAATAACTCATCAGAGTTGCCATAGTGCCTGTCCAAAACCGCACTGCCCTAGATCCACCAACTCTATGCATTCACTGGCTGAATGGCAAACAGAGAGATTTCTAACAGCAGTCTAATTGGTCAGCTGGTGCCAATGACGCACACCAAATCTCCTCTTAAAGCTTATTAATTGATAGGCAGACAAGATCCCCACAGACAGACGAGTTGGTGTGTGTGTGTGAGAAATTAGGGGAAGGGGTAAAAACAAAAAAATGCACGTCACGTCAGACCACACTGTATAAACTTGACTTTATTATCACATTGATTCAGAGGATAGTCTTGCCATATTGGTCACTGCAGTTACTCCCATATTCCATGACAGTATCTGATGCTCGAAAGTGCAGCTTCTGTCACACACAAGTCTCTCCATGTGAACTTCAGCAGCCTCCCATGTGGCAACGCTACTGATAGTTTTAAAGTCACGCAATCTCCCTCAAAGAACAGTTGTTACAACGTCCCCTTCACACGAAAAGTCCCCATTACACGGGGCGAAAGGTAAAGCGCCCCGTTAATGCCAGCTAACGTTACTGATAAATGTTGCGAGGAAATGAGCTGTCAAAAAACCACTGGCAGGAAAGCGCGCTCCAACATCCATGCAGCCTTTTGGGAAATAGTCGGAGTTAAAGTTAGTGTAGCGGCAGTCGTTCATACCTGAAATGTAACAGTCGGTAGGGTCCAACGGCCGTGTCCAGTGTCCGTGTCTGTCGGTCTCTACTACTCGGAGCGCTCTCGTACGGAATCTATACTTGGCAACCTCACCAGCAGCGCTAATCCTGACGTCACCGCATGGTGGGACAGCCAATGGACCAATCGCCGCTCGAGCTGTGGCGCAGGTAAACAGCTCTGGGACATTATTGGTCACCTCTCGGCCTCCACCCGTTACACTCATGCTGTAGTGTGGGATGGAATGCTTGGAGGTGTGTAGGCGCCGGGGCGTGCAGTCTCGGTAAGACGCGCATAGTTGTTGCAAATACCCCCAACTGACAGCTGACATTGCCACAATCTAACATGGTAGTAATGAGACGATTAGCCGTGATTGTATAAAGTAGTAGCCTAATGGCATGAGTATAGCGACAATTATAGACTTGCGTTTCTAAAACTCTGGACCACGTGATCACTTATTTAAGATCTCGATTTGGTCGAGCTGGTAAAGTTCACAAACACAGTAGGCATGCAAGTACTCCTAAGGCTCATTAATTTGTTCACTTTGTGTTTCATTCTCTGTCATGCTTCAATTTCTTACACAAAGTCCTGTCTGTATATTGCATGCTTTATCTTGTACTTTCATTTCATTACTTTGTTTGTTTTCGCACGTTCATATCCATGCTCAATTGAATCTTTGTTTTGGTTTTGGTTATCTGCGTCTTATGCGAGTGGACCAGTGGGTGCGTTGTTAGTATATACTTTTATGAATTAAATAGAACCACCAATACCAAACCAATCTAATGAATCTATTTGTGATTCATTATTTGTGTGTTCTCAAATAAAACCTAGAATAAAGCCCACATGGACTCCTTGTCTATTCACCCTACCAGGTGCAAACAGACTTGGTTACACTGAATTTGTGTTGTCTCAGCTTGTGGTGGTCTTGTGCTCCATCTAGTGGATTGCATGACCCCAAACAGGCAAAGTCAAGTATAAGGCAAGTCTACAGAATCAATCTGACCGAAAGTATGCTGTGATGCTGTGAATCAAATCGGGTGCACTTTTAGGCTAAGTAAACTAAATATTTGTGTTGTGCATTTTATTTGTTTTCATTTTGATGTCATCAATGTTTATAGTGACTATTTGCTTTTTTAAATTACTATTTTATTTTTAGATCTTAATTCCCATACAATTGTTGCATTTCTTTATGGCAGACAGGTTGAACTCATAACTTTAACACAACGATTTAATGACCCAACATTTGGCCCACCGGCAGGGCCTGGTATTGTGTGCTGGCTAAATGAAACCCAACCTGATTAAAATAATTGATTACACCTGTGTTTTTATTACACCCAGGACTCTTGCTTTACCTCTGCTACTTTTCACAACTGCCAAGACACAAAACTACTTGCGGTACAACTAACTCATGTAGCCTTTATATTGACCAGGTATGCTAAACCATAACCAATACCCTGAAGAACACTATCATGTCAAATCGTTGGTAAATTATTTTTCCTTTACACATATGCTAAACTGTAAGCTCATTGTCTGCTTTACACTAAGTTTGAGATTCTATAAGACATTTTTTTGCAAATAAGTACATGAGGTTATTAACATTAGACACACCATTCAAAACTAAAAGCCTGCCACCGAAACACCACACTCAATCAATGCACATGAGAAATTACCTGGGACTAATTGTCACTTAGAAATAAGAGCTTAAACACGATATATAGGATTCAGGTTTGCTCTTTGGTGGGTGTGAGGAGGCCACTTTTGTAGAGAGAGTTAGAGGACTTTAATTGCAACACATTTGTTTACAGTACAATACAGAATCTATATTCATGTCATCTTCAGTTAAAGTAATTGTGTCTCATATTGTTATGAGTAAATTAGTATTTTAAATTTAAAAAAATGTATCTGTTCCCCCATTGCATTTGTGTTCATATATATTGACAGCAGGCTATATGAAAATGTCAAAAACTTTAGATAATAGTGTTTTATACTTAGCACTTATAATACATCAGGTTGCATGTAGAAAGAGCTATTTATTTGGTGTTCGTGTGAAGTTGTGAAGCAAAAATACCAATTTATATATTTTTGAATGAAGTGTTTGCTTTTAGACGAGATGTAGGATAATTCATATTTTGTGTATTTGTTTTTTTGATGGCCCAGTATATAGAAATTGTATTTTAGCAATTGCACAAAAAAAAAGAGAAACATTCAACAATTTGGCATTGTACAATTGCAGGTGAGAAAAGATACACTAAGAAATGTTGAAACCTGCTTCTGGGATCTGTCAAAAACGCAAAAACAATTTTGATTTAATTATTATACTTCTACATTTGTAAATAAAGAATTTATCAAGTAAAAGCAGGGCATTTATAAAGAATGTCCCTTCTTATACACAGTCCATAGAATGGCCTATTGGTGCAGCTGCTTCTGAACGTTCCTCTAGTAAAGCTGTTACTGTTTCTCGATGCAGACGCTGGTGGGCGCTGTGGTGCACACGGCGCTGTGTTCGTTCCAGTCGGACCCTCTCGTCGTCGTTGGCAGTTAAGGTGACAGTTGCCTAGTGACGAAAAACTATCGAACTGCTGCTGATTTCCTGCGTTTTCAAAATCTCAACGCTGGCACAAAGTGAGCTAGTTAGTGCGAAGTTTTCTAAACAGATTTCATATGCTTATCTCTGGAGTATGGGACGAAATAAAACCGTTATCGTTGCTGGAAAAGTCGCGTAGCGTTTTTCAGCGTTTTCAGGGGTTATGAAGCGTTTTGAAGAAAAATGAATAATTATGTTTTCATCAGGGTCGTTGGTAAAGGGAGCTATGGGGAGGTGAACTTGGTGAAACACAAAGCCGACCGAAAACAGGTGAGAAACAAAAACCTATGTGTGGAATTCAACACAGCCAACAATAGCTCAAATATAAACAACGTAACGTTGTAGCTTTACTGCTCAAAAGACCCAGCTAAGCTTCAACTAGCTTAAAGTTAGCTAAAGAATGCTAAAACCTCACAGTCAACATTACGCTCTTTGACGTTATGTTTGAGATTAATGGAGCAAACGCTTTAATGTTAAGACATGACGAAGCAAAGTAATAATTAGTGAAGGTAATGTTAACCTCCTAGGGTTTGAAACAACAGGTTGATTATTTGAACCCATTCAACTATAACAAACTGGAGCTGGATAATGAATGCTATAACCAGCATGGTGTCTGTTATCCCTCTCCTGTAAAGGACGTTTTGTAGTTTGGTCTTGAGATGTAAAACAACAAAAACAAATTCAGATGAAGAAGAGTTGTCATTAACTTTAGCTAAAATCATATATGTGTGTCAATGTAAATTAAAACTGAGTTCTGTTCATTGTATACTGGTTGAAAATGCTCTTATGGTGACTTTTAATGTTTGATTCCAAGCGTTTTAATATCTGAATCTTGTCCCTTTTCACAAAAATAATGTTTTCCTTTGTTTCCAACTGACTGCATATTTTCCTTCTTTTTTTTTTTTTTTATACAGTATGTTATAAAAAAGCTGAATTTAACAACCTCCACAAAGCGGGAGCGGCGTGCTGCAGAGCAGGAGGCGCAGCTCCTTTCCCAGCTGCGACATCCCAACATTGTGACGTACAGGGAGTCTTGGGAAGGAGATGACTGCCAGCTGTACATTGTGATGGGTTTCTGCGAAGCCGGTGACCTTTATCACCGACTCAAACAGCAAAAGGGGGAACTCTTACCTGAGAGGCTGGTTGTGGAGTGGTTTGTGCAGATAGCCATGGCACTACAGGTGTGGTTTGAAAGTGAAAGGCCATGCAAGGTCACACATCATTTATATTCTTTATACAAGTTCGGGACATCTGAAGTCATTTGTGATTTTGCTTTGCAGTACCTGCATGAGAGAAACATTCTTCACCGGGACCTTAAAACACAGAACATCTTCCTGACCAAGATGAATATCATCAAAGTTGGAGACCTTGGCATTGCACGAGTCTTGGAGAACCAGAATGATATGGCCAGCACACTCATAGGGACCCCGTACTACATGAGTCCAGAGCTCTTCTCTAATAAACCCTATAACCACAAGGTAATATGGTCGTTCGCTCAGACACTGTGTAGTTTCTTTGTGACGGGTCATCATCGCTGCTTTACAAACCGATGTTGTTTGTTTCTAGTCAGATGTATGGGCCCTGGGCTGCTGTGTGTATGAAATGTCCACACTGAAACACGCCTTCAACGCCAAGGACATGAACTCACTGGTTTATCGCATTGTACAAGGAAAGGTGGGTTTCATCTTTTTACATATATTTGATTAGATATTCTGTTAAGGTCAAGTTTGAATGGTTTTATTTTTGATACATTGTTATACTTTTCCAGGTGACGGCAGTCGTCTTTTTGCAAACGGATACGTATTTTAGTATTTGATCTGAGGCTCACGTTTGTTTGTCATTTCCCGAGAGCCTCAGAAGAGTTCCTGGACATTATTTGTAGCTCCATAAACTGACTCGAGTTTGGAATAGTCTTAATTTGTCCCGAGGAACCACAAATGAATAAGCGGTTGGTTTTCAATTGGTAACTTTAGCAATCTTGATCGGGAGTTTAGTAATTAATTGTCTTTTATACAGTATGCTATTTTTCCAAAACCTGATTCTGGAAATGTAATTTATTTCACAATGACTCACAACTATTTCTCTGGTTTTCTCATCAGCTGCCACAGATGCCCGGTCGGTATGATCTACAGCTGGGAGAACTGATCAAGAGCATGCTGTGTAAGAGACCTGAAGACAGGCCTGATGTCAAACTCATCCTCAGGCAGCCATACATCAAACGACAAATTGCTATGTTCCTCGAGGCCACTAAGGAGTAGGTAGCACTGACGGCAGACTGACTTGCTGTTATTTCTAATGTCTTTAAAGCAATATTTTGTCTGCAAATTGAATTTATTTCTGTGTATGCTTCAATTGGAACCATTTTCTACTGTCAGATATGTTTCTACCCCCCCCCCCCTGTTTTTGTTCCTTTGCCACAGTGAGCTGCTAGCATTGAGTAGAATCTATATCTTCTCTTATATGTTTATGTTTGATTTGGTTCTTACCAGAAAAACTGCCAAGTCAAGAAAGAAAGCTGTGTGTGGCAGTGGTGATTGTAGGGCCAACAGTGGACCACCTGTGGGGTCTTATCTGCCAATGCCTGAGAGAAGTGCCCAGCCTGAACCTCTTGTCCGGGTGAAACGCGTGAGTGACTATAGAATAGTAAGGCTGTAATACTATAATACTGATATATATATTATAACATTCTAGAATATTGACAGTTGAACAGTTTCTGTGTTTTCACGTATTGAAATGTATTCCATAATCTTCTTATAGTGAGAGGTCAAAACCAGTCCAGTGGATTGCTCCAGTTGAACCCGTTTACCCAAGCTTCTTCACCTCTGAAGTAAGCCAGCGAATCGTCAGTGTTGATTCTGTTTTTAGTTTTTTTTTCTCTTCATCCTCAGAAAGAAGAGAAATCACATCAACATAAAGTTCGGGACGGCGTCGGAGACGACACTCCGGTCCAAACGCCGCGGCCACCCAAACCCTCCTCAGCCGATGCTCTTGAAGCCAGCATCGCATCTCTGGCAACGATCAGCAACATCGATGTCCAACTGCAGGAAGACGAGGACCCGATAAAGAGACAGGTGCCGGGGCCCCAGTCAGTTGTGTCACACCACCGTCGAGGTAATGAACCTATAACTCGCAGTGTGCACAAAGACAGCAAGGGGAGAGGAAAACCAGATCCCTCTCCACATCCGTCCCCTGTTAAGCCCCCTCTGAAGGCGGTATCAGATGAGAGGAGGGCATCCAATGGATTGTTAGACATTAATCCACAGGCCACGCCGAGCCCCGGGGATACATTTTCTGTCGGTGGGGAGAAACAGACGTCAGATGGAGGTGATAAGGATGATACCATGGAGCTACTTAAAGAGGCTGACATGCAGAACCCGAAGCTGGAAGTGGAGAGCGAGGGTACCTTTTCTATCCATGAGAGAAGATCTGCACACAAATCCAACATAGAAAATATTGAAACGGTTGCGGACGTAAATATGGACGGGAAAAGTGACACCGTTACCCTTCTCAAGGGAGCTCCGGCACAACACCACACCTCAGACATCCAAGTAAGTGCTCTAGTGATAGATGGCCGTTTCTATTGTTTCCTCAGGGAAAGATCGTGCCTACTTTTTTAACGTGTTAATTTATGTCTTCATAGGATAGCCTAGAATCTACTGAAAAGCTGTTAGAGCCATTCCCTCCAACACTGGTGAGCATTAAAGTTCTTGTACTCTTTCTGTGAACTCTAGCCAGAATAAAGCCTATAAGCTGTATTGTGGAAAGATTTTTGCCGCAGTGTAAAAAGTGTAATTGTGTCTGTTCAGGAGCCCGTTCGAGAGGAGTCTCCCTTACCGGCAAATAAGCTGGGTCCGACCACTCCACACCAAACTCCTCTGTACGTGTCATCAGACCCGTCTGTAGCGCAGCAGCACAGAGGCAGGGACATCAGACGGACACATGGGGATCAGGACAAGGTAACATCAGATACATTAGCTAACGATTGTCACGCGATACTTCGGATCGTGAAGTGGAAGTTGGGCTCTTAATTCAAATATAAAAGAATCTTAAAGCAGTTCACTTACATGATTCAATGTATCATTGAGGCTAGTGCCTCATGGGGAAACAGGAAATTTGAGAGAAAGAAGATTTTACTTTTGCTTCTGACTTTTGTTCAGCTGCTGTCTTTCTAAAACGAACCATCACATTGCATTTGACGCTCACAACTTATGCTGAGTTCAAGTCAAGATATGATTGTTGAAAATATCTTTTGAAAGTACATTTTTACTATACTACTATAGCCAGCCAGTAAATATGACAAATGTAATGATCAACACTCAGTTGATTCAATTAATCTTTTTTTATATATTTTAATTTATATTTCTCTTTTTTTGCCTCCTGTTAGTCCAAGGTGACTGCTCCTCGACCTTTACCTCCACTTCCTGTAAAGAGCATCGCCACGGATGGCAGGAAGAGGAGCAGCAGGGGCACAGAGGGCAAGAAAGCCAGCGTAGCTGCAGCCTCCACATCAGTTAGTTCCTCTGCGGATGGATTCCTACCACTGCCACAGGTGAGAGTGCTCCTCCACCTGCTCACTGTATACAGCTGCTTTACTGCAAATACGTGTATATCCATTCTGCCTGAAGCAGTATTTTTTTCAGTCAATGTAAAGCATTTGAGGCCATAGTTTGGACTAAAAGATTGAAATATTAAATAATTACAAAAAAATATGAAAACATTATTTCTGTCCTAATGACTGATGACTTTGATATATTGGTCTTTCTTGCTGAAATCAGCAGATGAAGCCTATTAATCACAGAAAATATGGGTCCATTGTATTTCCAGGATCGTCCTCTGTCTGCCAGAGAGAGAAGAAGACTGAGGCAGTCCGGGGAGATTGCCAGCCAACCAGGTACTTCCTCTCTTTTCCTAACTGAAGCCTGAGACCCATCACAGAAAACAACAGGAACACTAAAGTTATGGGAGGCTGGAATACAGCAATTAAAAAGCGTTCACTTGCTCACATACACACATATACACTTAATCCCAGCGGGAAACAAACTTGCACATTTTAGGTTGAATATTTTATACATTATTCCAAATCTATAAAAAAAGAGTAGTTAGTAGTTTACTTTTTTCTTTTCTTGATTACTTTCCTGCTCTTTCCACAGATGTTAGTGTGATAAGAAGGGCGTCTTATGATGTTTCTTCCACCAAGGATGAGCACTACAATGCTCCAGTAACCAGATCTGTTTCAGACTCTCTCACTGGGACCAACTGTAAGGTACTGACATCCCATCAATGGGACATTCTATTCTACATCATACGAAGGGAGCTACACTTTTTCCAACGTCTTTTTGGTCAACAGGAAACGATGTGCCTTGTGATTCTAATGAGATAAGTTTACAGTTCATTTAAAACAGAGGCCTGTGTCAAAATGACGGTCACAACAGTGGGATGTGTTTCATCAAAGCAGGATAAATTGGCGGAGCAAAGGTCTGATGAAGATGAGTGCAGCTCATCCACAAGTTCCACAGAACGTTCGGAGGGAGACTGCAGGGAAAGGTGAAAGACACGACTAGAGAATGTAGTCACCATACTGATTTATATTTATATTATTAGCTCTGGAAAATCTATATTGACACATTTGCTGTGTAATCCATGATTTATGCCGGAAAACTGAATCCAGCGACATGCAAGATTTAGTCCACATGATGACCCAGACGTTGAGTATGGATATTGTAGACGCCGTGAGTGAGGCGGACAAAGGCAGCTTTGGCTCTACAGCTTTACCAGAATTTAAACTGAACAGGAAGTACAGAGATACCCTGGTGCTTCATGGGAAGGCTCGAGAGGAAGCAGAGAATCTCTCACTGGGTGAAATACCAATCGGTGAGATACTTTTAAACTCTATTATCATCAGTCAGCCCTTCTGGAGCTTTCTTGTGTTTAACCAGCTTCTCTCTCCGAAAGGCTCCACGTCTGGTCCCGCCAAGATCAGGAGAGCCATAGAACAGCTGAGAACAGATGTGGTGAAGGGTCTGGGGGTTAAGCTGCTGGACAGAGTTCTGGAAATCATGGAGGTGGAGGATGACACCAAACGAGAAGTATGCTTTTAAAGAAGTAAATCGCATCACACCAAATCATATACACTGTACCCATAGTATAACATGAGACTGTTCAGTAACATTTAGTTAAATACATTATGCACTTCTATACCAACCAGGAAGGGTAAGCGAAGTCACAAAGATGCAAGTTATATACAGCAACTGATTTTCTAATGCATTGTTTAGCTTAATTTAATGTTGTCTTTATGCATGGAGCTACAAGTGGAATAAGTTACCGACTTCTTAGTTTAAAATGATAAGTAAACCTTAAGATACAATTTTATATTCTTACCATATCAAACCTTAGAATAGATTAACTTGCCATGCACAATATCATCAATTGATCTGTGATGTTCATAATGATCACAGTTGGCCTCCTCTTTTCTCCCTGCAGCTGTGCCTTCGTGACCAGATGGGAGATGAAAAGTACCAAGCGTATGCTGTGATGGTGAGGCAGCTGAAATTCTTTGAGGATATTGCCGTCAATGTTTAGTGAGAATGCTGTGTATACGGGAGCGTACACATTTCTATGACACCACTTGTTAAGAGAGGCAAGAGTCTTGAAAGATCTCAAACAGGAAACTTTGTCTTTGTTTTCAAACGGTCATTATTGTTCATGAAAATCTGTTTCCTGCCAAAAAACCAATCTGCTTCTCTGGCATTGCCACTTTCTGGTTGTCATGGAATTTCCACAATGCACCTGCTCCTGTGCGAGCAAGCTTATGTAAATGACTGTAAAGCTGTTTTCCCCTCATTCTTCAAACACAGAATTTGTTATTTTTCCTGTAATTTTCAGGATTTCTATGCAAAGATTTTGAGTCATGTTAAAGCATTTGTTCTACTTTTAGTGGATACTTGTGATTATTTATAAAGAAAGCTAGAATTTCAATAACTGTTTTACCTATGCTGTATCTTTGAAGATCACTTCTGCTGTATTGTAGCTTCTTAAACACAATAATGTGATAATGTATTGTAGATATTAACATTTAAATATTTTCTATTAAATCTTAAATGTTTTTCTTTTGTTCACACCCATTTTCCATAATGTTGAAGACCTCAATAAAATATTGTTTCATTGAGAGCAACGAGAGCATCGTCAATAAGTCCTGCAAAAAAAATCGATTCTAAATAAAAATGAAATGTCCCATTTATAAAACAGAATATCAGATGTTTATTTTTTGGACACAAGTAATTACTTATCACTGTTACAATGTTTTCTTTCCCAAATGCGAACTGTGAGACAAAAGGATGCATTATCAGGATGCGTTATCAGCCGAGCAGGACCAGATGCGAGTTATTTGTGTTTCTTCTTCTTGAGAGTTTCCTGAGGTTTTTGGCTGGACTCCGGGCTGATGTCTGGAATTGGTGGCTGCCAGGACAGAGGATTCTTTCTGTACATGGGCCATGGAGGCAGTGTCAACTACAGTAAAGGACAGAAAGAGATTATAAAATGCTGTCTGGTAAAGCCTCCCAGGAAGAAGTATTTACATCGTATACAACCACAAGACAGGCAACTATGTGTCATAATGTTGTCAAATTGTACTAATCTATCGCATTATCTTGTGTAAACAGACTAGTGGCTAGTTAATTATACTGGGAGCACAGTGTAGCTATGTATAGTGCCTTCCCTCAAATAAAGCACATAAAAATGCAAAAATAAAAAAAATAAAAATAAAAAAAAAAAACTTACCACACAGGATACAACAAAGCCAGCCAGGACGATGTACACGGTCCACCCAAATTGTTCAACGATCAAACCATACACAAATCCAATAGCCTGGAAAGAGATAAAAATGATTATCAGTCAACCTGACAATAGGTAAAAACTCACTGCCGTACTAGTGCGATGTTTTGCAAGAGTCATGGTTAGTTACCGCTGAAATGAGTATTATTCCTTGGAAAATCTGTTCAGCCAGTTTTTGGCCTTTATAATCCTGTAACCCAAGAGAAAGAGAAACATTAATAACAAAATGAGCACAGATTGAGGTTCGGAGGGTGGTGGGTCCACCTGTGTAAAATAAATAGCTGGTAAAACTTGGCTGTTGCCCACAAGCTTCGTTTACCGCTACACTAACCTTAGGAACAGGTTAAATAACATTACAGTAATAAAGAATGAGCTTAATGGCTATACTAAAGTTAACGTTACAACAACAAAATAACGGTTGCGTTAAATGAATACTGGATGGTTGGTTATCTCCTAGCTTTGAAGGATATCACAATTTGAACTAGCAGCTGTTACCAACGTAACGTTAGTTTAACCACTGCACTGGTTAACTTCCGTTAGCTTGAAATAATAGCATAGATGAATAGCGAGGATAACTATGCAGCTCCACAACAAATACGATATTCATCCCTTACCATGTGCGAGGGGATAGATTTGAATATAGACAGCATCTTTCCACTGAAGAGTGAACGAGCAAATACGGACAGAATTAGGCTCAAACGATGGCAGGTTGGTTGCAAAGCGAAGCAGTTTGACTTCTGGTTTTAAAAAGATACGTCGTGTTGTGAAGGACCCCTCTCCGACTAAAGTGCCGATGTTGTTGACGGATCTGTTTTCATAGTAGGCGAAAGCGTTGCCTGTCTAAATGACTGCCCATCAATATGCTTAGTGTCTATTAGCTATCCTAGATTAAGCATAGAATTTTTTTACCTAGCCATTTAATCATATATACATACCAATACTAAACTATTTAATTTTGTTGCTGGGAACAGCAAGCAAATTGAATGTTAAAATCAGGCAAACACATGGGCATCTATTACTACGTGCGCGTTTGTTGTCGGAGAGCGTTCAACTTGATGTTGAGTTGGCAGTTTGGCTGGAGCGTAAATTACCGTTGCTGTCCTATCCGATATATTTTAGTAGCTTACTTCCCCCTGCGCCGTATATATTTTTAATTTAAGCATATAAACACACAGTTAAGAGCCACTAATTTGATGGTCCCGTTGTGTTTATGCAGCAGCAATCCTTGGTTTATGTCAGTCTTCAGTAGCTAGCCAGCTAATACATCTTGGGCTGCGCTCAGATCAACTTTGACATTTTCCCCTGTTTTTATTTTGAACCTTTATCAGGCGTGCTGGAGGAGCAGATGAGGCCGTTATCATGACACTGAGGAAAGGTGAGTCAGTCTAGATGCATGTTTGTTATCATGTCTAGATAGTGCAGTGAGAATGTAAAACAACATAGTTAAATAGGAACATTAACATTCTGCATTACTCAACAGATGTGTGTCTTTCACAGTGTACCACAGCTATCATTGAGATCAGTTCTTCACCGTTTCTTTCAGTAAACGTGGTCATTCTTTTGCTGCTGGCTGTTGCCTTCCTGATCATAGTCCAACGAAATCTCCTCAACCTCGGAGACATTTTACACATGGAAACCCCAGGTATGTTTCTCTTGGTGCTCTGTGCCTTCTTCTCAAACTATGAAGTGTATTGTTGTAAATATCTCATCAGACAAAGTCACTGCATTATTTGTGAAATCCTCAATATGTCTGCATTCAGATGCGAGTCTTCCCTTTGAATCCGAGTTGTCTCCGGAGCTTCGACTAGAGTCTGTGAGGAAAGGAGAGGAGATCCCTGTCCTCATCACTGCTGTCGAGGAAAGACTCGGAGCTGTGGTTGCTGCCATGAACAGTGTCTATCAGAACAGTAAAGCCAATGTCGTCTTCACCATCGTCACCCTGAATGACACGGTGGATCACCTAAAGTAAGACAATGGAGCTTGTATGTCTTGCTGAAGAAGAGAAATGTGTGAAAAGTAATTCTCATTTGATTTAAGTGATCGTTCTCTGACATAACTTTATCTCCTTGTTTCACCAACAGTGTTTGGCTTAGTAATACGCGGCTAAAAAATGTCAAATATAAGATAGTTATTTTCCAGCCTGAGCTCCTCAATGGGAAAATAACCAAAGACACTCAGACGCTGGAAGCTGCCAAACCGGTGAGACAACAGAATGTTTTATCACAGTGCCGGAAGAAATATTCATACTTTCGTTACTGTTTACAAATGGTTGTTCCTTGCCAACTTTGTTCTGATGGTCTATTTGTCAGTTGACTTTTGCCAGGTTTTATCTACCTGTGTTCATACCCGAAGCAGAGAAAGCGATCTACTTGGATGACGATACCGTTGTACAAGGTAAGACACCACCATAAAGAAAGAGAGCTACCGTGGCCATAAACTAACAGTAAGAGAAGAGGTTCTCTGGAAGGGATTTTTACAAATGGACTTTGCCTGTTCTGTTGGATCACAGGGGACATTCAGGAGCTTTATGAAACCAACCTCAAACCAGGACACGCAGCTGCCTTTTCGGATGACTGTGATTCAGCGTCTGCTAAGGGCATCATTCGAGCTGCTGGAAATCAGGTGGGCCATCTCTTCCTTGAGTTATGCAAAAAAAGAAACTATTCATGACGAATATTGTTATGCAAATGTCGTGACATTTGATTTTAAATAATGAATCTCCTCCAATAGAATAATTATATAGGTTTCCTGGACTTCACGAAGGATGCTATCAAGAAGCTGGGGATGAGGGCCAACACGTGCTCCTTCAACCCCGGGGTCATCATCGCTAACCTGACCGAGTGGAGGAACCAGAACATAACCCGGCAGCTGGAGGACTGGATGGAACTCAACACACAGTATGTTACTCACACTGGTGAAAAAGATGCGTGAATATTGAGGCTAGTGGACTCCTTCTGTTAGAATTAAGCTGAATAGTTGTTGGTTTTTCCTTTTAGGGAGGATCTGTACAGTAAGACACTAGCAGAGAGTATCACCACCCCTCCACTCCTCATTGTTTTCTACAAACGTCACTCCACCATCGACCCGATGTGGCACGTCAGGCATCTTGGTAAGTTCTGGCTACTTACTGAAGGGAAACTAAAATACATGACATGCTTTCTCAGTCAACCATTGGCTGTAGATCCAACACATTTTAGATACAAGACTAATTATGGTTTCCCATGAAAGCTATTATGATAATGCCACATATGACGGTATCCACAATAGTGACAAGACATGCGCCGTCTAAGTATTATCAAGAAGCTTTTATAGTGGTGTTAAATAAATGGTTCAACATATTGACGGACGACAATGGTATCAATCTTCTCGTGTAACTATTGGCAATATTGGGAATTAGTGTACCTCCCCAAAATATTGAACTGTTTCTTTAACGGATCTGTCAAGGTTTATTGAGGCAGTTTTCTGTTGTAAAAGCATCAGTTAAATTATATAGAAATCACAACTGACCTAGGTTGTCTGTTCTTTGTGAAGGATGCAAGTTTTCAGGTTAAAATATTTGAATGTTGACTCAATATATGATGGTCAGTATAAAAACTCATATTATCATTTGTTTTTCAGGCACTACAGGTGCTGGAAACCGCTACTCCCTACAGTTTGTGAAAGCTGCCAAACTCCTCCATTGGAACGGACACTACAAACCCTGGGGGAGGACATCCTCCTTTTCTAACGTGTGGGAAAAGTGGTTCATTCCAGACCCCACAGGAAAATTTAACCCTGTGCGAAAACACACAGGGGACAACTAGACTGAAACATTCGGTTTCAGGAACTTTCGAGCAGCCAAGCAGGACCACGCCGCGTGGTATCTCAGGATCTAAGTCAAGCCTTTTCACTCGCCACTTCTGTAATCCTCCGAATTTGTAGACTTGTGTACTCTCACATTCCCTTGAACAGCTTTTTTCTATACCCAGTGCATCTTGTTGCTTAGAGCGCACAAATATCTGACCCATGCTTCTCAAAATGTTCTGTTTAAAGAGGATCGTTTCACGAAAGAGGCATAGACTGTGTTCCTCCCTGTGATAAGAGAAATATTGCATTTGAAGAGTATAATGTTAATAGACATGTATGCATCAATCCCAGGCCACAGCAATGAGATACCTTGCGACAACCATGTGCAGGTTTGTTTACATGCAGCTCAATACTGACAAATTCACTTTATTTGTATACTGGAGTATTTTAGTTACCTTAACTACGATACAGCACAGCCAGTCCAGTATTAGCCACACAGATCGTGTCATTACCTCAATCAATACTTCCTGTGGAAAAGTAGCAAGTTTTACACTTAATTACACATTTATCAGATCCTTTTAACAGTAGTCTGTTCTTAGTGCATCATTTGTTACAAAGACGGTTTATCTCCCTCTTCCTCTATAATCCCATTATTCTGAAACGGATTGTTAATCCAGGGCAGCGATTTAATGTTGCACTGCCATTGTGATTCGTCCTGCCTATCATTTATAATAACTGCCATAAATGAACACTAAATCTGCCCCTCATGCTAAACTCCAAGTGTTTTTAATGACATTTTATGCAGACCACTAAGCAAACTACACCTCTGCAGAAATGTAATGTTTGCACAATGTCCTCATGCTTTGTAACCCTTCAGTCAGGATTTTTATAAACATTGCTTTGCCGTTGTAAATATTGGTCATCCTTTGTATGGCACATGAAATAAAGATTTTATCATTTACATACAAAAGGAGGGTGAATTAATTAAGAGCCACAAGCAAAGAAAATGTGGTGAAAACACATCAACAGCATTAAACTGCTGTAGTGTAACTTTGTTTTATAAAAATATAACAAATGAAGGCTTTGTAGAGGGTTTATTACATTTATAGTACATCGTCTATATACAGTATTCTGCATGAACACAAAAACACAAATGACCTCTTGACATTTAAAACAGCCGATTATTCACCAACAACATCTGGAAGAAGTCAGGATATATACACATGACCACATAGACAAACTATTCAATTATGTTAACTGAAAAATGTTGTCGAGGATGAAGGTCCTTGTCTGGAAACGGTCTCACCGTCGTCCAGATTCAGAGTTTAAAGGCAGGGCACAAACACCAACGACTGCCCTGACACCACTCAACTAGGCAGTGCCTTTTAAACTGGGATTCTGAATCAACTGCCTGTCATGAGGTGATCAAAGGCACCCTGACAGTGATTCTGTATGTCAGCATGTTTGGGTATGCTGACAACTCCACATCTGCATGTCCTCCAAACAAAGAAAGCAGAGCTCATTTAAAATGCGTGTTGAAGTCATAGGCGTCATCTGTTGTCGCTGCAGAGCGGCTGATGTCGACAGACTGGAACTGCACCTGGCCGGGTTGTTCTGGAAGACAAGTCGAGACGTAAAAATAAGCCCCACTAGCTGGATATTTTAGTAATAAAGAAATGAAAGTTGTTTAAAAAAAAAAAAAATGCCCTTACTCTTGAGTGGCGCCGTCTGTGGTTTATCTGGTTCTTCGGTTTTATTTGCCTCCTCGGCACTTTGTACGGGCTGCAAGACAAGCAGATGTTTTAATTATTGAAAGTCCAACAACACTCCAGATGCAAAGTGATTTGAATGAGAAAGGTCCAGCCAGCAGGATCAGAGTTGGATTAGAAGTCTTCATACACAAATCAAGACATGAATTTTTGTCCTCATTTCCTGGAGACCAGACTGCTAACACTATTTGAAGAATCTGTATCGTCTTGCAGTTAAAAAACAAAAACTTCTATTATTACCTCATCATTCTGCTCTGCTGCTCCCTCTGCAGCAACAGGTGTTTCTTCAGAGGAATCGAGGACACTCAGCTGACCTGCAGTCGGGCCTTTAGAGATGAAGCCTATGCTGCTGGCCTGGCTCGGGAATTTAACACCTGAAAAGCAGAAGTTGTTTTCAGCAAAGAGTCTAAAAGCCCATAAGTGTCAGTTAAAAGAAAGCACCATCCACAAATGAACTAAGTTTTGTTTTGGTTTTCATTTCAAGTGGCTGAAACTCACTGTCTGAACAACACAACATGCACTTATTGGAAGATATTTCTGAAAAATACATTTATTTTGTTAACAAACACACTACAGATGAGCTCTGCTTGAGACAGAGCCACGTGATAAGAGTGGTTTGTGTGTTATTCTAGGAGGTTATAACCAGTTATAACAGCACAGCACAAGCTGCTCAACCTTCTCAGTCCTCCACATTACAACGACGTGACAACATGTTTGTTTTTAACGTAAGAGGGGAGAACATTTCACTTCACGCCTCAAGTTGAAAAGGTAAAACTGTATTGATAGTTGACCCGTCACACATTTGAATTGCAATTAATCTAAATTCCGACTATTAAAAATTCTAATTATATTACATAAAACTGGATGGGGGTTAACACGTGTTGGTCAAAACAGTGTGGAGGCCCCTAGCGGCACCAAGAGGCAATGTTGCTCTTTACACAATATGTGAAGGAATCACATCAAACACCACCGTTACCTTTCAGAGTTTCCTCATTGCCCTTCTTCAAATTGTCCAGATCCCAGCCGCTCTGCATCTCTGTGACGACAGCATCGGACATGTAGGCGGGGAGGCCGTGGCTCTCCGGTGCCTTACAGTGGTAGCTTACCTTGGCTCTGAGGGAGACACAGACTTGTGTGAGATCAATGGAGACACAGCACCACCTGCTTACATAATGCAGCTATTCTGGCACAGTGTTGGGATCAGAGTTGGATTAGAAGTCTTCATAATGAAATCTAGACTTGCGTTTTTGTCCTCATATCCACACTGATGCACTACAGCTGCCAACACTTTGTCTTCATACAAACACTCACCCTGTCCAGTCGGCGAGGAACGCTGTGGCCGCCTGCTGCGTGTTAGGAACTCCACCCTTCTGCAGATAGCCACGCTTTTTGGCAAAAAGGGTTAAAAACTCGAGAGAGTTTCTGAAGTCTGGGACGTTGTACTGGAGCATGATCTGAAACCATCAGAACACATAACCTCAAATTATTATTAATTTTTTTTTTTTTTTTTTTTTTTTTTAAAAACTCGCTTTAAATTTCAATCAATCTAACCAGTTCACTCGACACATCTCTCCTGTGATGGGAGCTCCTCCTACCTGGCTGTGGTCACACTGTTTCAGCAGAGTCCTGACAGCTTCCAGCACATTCTGCTGGCCCTCCTCCACCTGCAGGCTCCTCAGAGCCATGGAGGCTGGTGGGTTTGACACTGACGCCACAACTCCTGGGCTGTCTATGAGCTTCACGTTCTTTAAGATGTGCACCTCCTGCATGGATCTGAGGGGGGCAACAGGCAACATTTGACAATTAGTATGAACTACAAAAAAAAGTATGTAGTTAATAGTAAGTAAGTAATATGTTAATTATAACTTCAAACAATATGAACTCAATCCCACAGTAATGTGCATAACGCTTACAATTTGTAATTGCCAGTTCTGCCGACTATGCACTAAAACTGATCGCACAGAAAATGCTACAATTGTGTTTGGAGCTAATGTTTTTTGGCCTAGTCACTCACTTTGTGATGCCTCTCTTAATGCCAGCATTGCATGCAAGGATCCCCTTCATACTGTTGATGATGCTGCTTTTCCCCACATTTGGAAAACCTGAGGGCAAAAAAAAAAAAAAAAAAAAAAAAAAAAAAAAAAGAAAAAAATATGATTGCATCAAAATTTTGTACTTTGAGCAAACTCAAAGAAATGAACAACCAGAATTGACAACTAACATAATACAATGTTAAACTGAATTCTGTTTTAAGTAGGGATGCTGCTGTGCTTACCAACTAAGCCCACTTTGAGGGAAGCTTCATCCTGTTTGTTAGCAGCAAAACTTGTGAGGAGCTCAGTGAGACAACCGTCTCCAGAACAGGCCGCTGCTCTGGATCGGTCCAGGACTTCATGGGAGGCCACGATCCTGCTGCTCTTCCTGGCTTGCTGAGGAAGACGTTACCAGAAAAGTGAAGTTACTTGAAAGAAAGTACCGCCCACAAATAAACAAAGTTTTTATTAGTTTGCATTTCAAGAGGCTGAAACACTGTCTGAACAACATATTGGAAGATATTTCTGAAAAACACATTTTGTTAACAAACACACTACAGATGAGCTCTGCTTGAGACAGAGCCACGTGATAAGAGCGGTTTGTGTGTTACTCTTGGAGGTTATAACCAGTTATAACAGCACAGCACAAGCTGCTCAACCTTCTCAGTCCTCCACATTACAACGACGTGACAACATGTTTGTTTTTAATAATAAACAAATCCAAACTGTAAGAGGGGAGGAGAACACTTCACTTCCCACCTCAAGTTGAAAAGTTAAAGCCGTCTTATTGATAGTTGACCCGTCACACATTTGAATTAAAATGAATCAAAATTTCGACTATTAAAAATTCCAATTATATTGCATAAAGCTGGATGGGGATGAACATGTGTTGGTCAAAATAGAGTTTGGCGGCCCCTAGCTTGTAGTCGAGACACAGGTTCATAAAATGACGGTTCAGTGTCTTTATAAACCATTATACGCTATAAATCTAAATATGTGTTCTTGATCAAATGCACCTCCTACCACGGTTTTGTCCTTGATCTGTGTTGATGCTTTGAACGCCACAACTGGAAATTCCAGTTGTAAGCACTGTATCCACCTCTCCACATTTTCTATCGGTACCAGATCTGCAACACAGAACATCAAACATTTAGAGTCCAGACAACACACTCATGTGTTCTTGACTATGAGCCAACATGGCAGTGTCTCGTGTCCACTTACCTATTTTGCTTAAAACCAAGATCAGTTTTTTATTGCCTTCCCTCTGCAGCACCGCCTCCTCCAGCTGTGGACACCTGCACCCCAGTGGATCCCGAGCATCGAGGACTTCTATGACTACATCAGATGCATCAATCACCTGAAAACGAGAGGGATCACGCTGAAGATTATCAGGTGAAAGCCATTCCTGTTCTCCTGGAAAACACTGACTGGGATAGGGAAGGTTTACCTTATTTAATTCAGAGCAAAGGTAGTGTTTGGAGTTCTTGTCTGGGGCAGCCGGTTTCTCTGGCTGCTTCTCAACCACATCCTATGGAAACAAGACGCCCCGCAAAAATAAAAGTCAGTCAACAGTAGTCATACAATTCTGAACCGATGGATTATTTTAGTGTTTGCCTTTTACCTGCCGAGCCTTCTTGGCCGTGGGTTCTGATCCTTTACTCGCAGTCTCCTTTTTCCTCTTCTTGGCTCGCTCCACTATCTTAGTTTGTCTCTTCTTCTCTTTATCCTCTTCAATCTTTGAGACACAAGAACATGTTGGATGAGTATTACAGCAGTCCAACACAGCACACTTAAAAACACTCAAAATGCAAATTTAAACAAGAGGTAGGTGTTGTGATAAACTACGTTAGAAGATTAAATGAGGCCGACCTGTAGCCTCCTCTGCTCCGCCTCGCGGAGGACCTCCTCTTTGAAGGGAGCGCTGCTGGGGACGCCGGGATCTTTCTTCACGCGTTTGCTCACTCCTTTCTTCTTTGCCTCTTTTTTTAACTTTCTGTTGTGTTCCCGGACCTAAACATATAAAACAAAAACAAAAAAAATTGTAACTCAATTTCTTGTAGACGTTAAAATAAGTCAAAACGAGTTATAAATTAGCAACGTCAGCAGCGTTCACACAGGCCTCATCGACCGAAAAACTGTAAACGTTTATCTTTAAAGTGACGTTAATAAGAGTCAAAACACTCACCTTTTTCTGTATTTTATAGCGTTTGGAACACGAGACCCGCTTACTTGCGGTCTTCAACTCTGTAGACAAAAGATAGAAGTAAAACCGATTAACGTGGGTCGAACATTTAATTAACATTTAGTCAAAAACGAAGGTAAAGCAGACAGACTGTTGGTGGCTGTTACCGATGAATACAGGTAGTGTAAGGTTGGAAGTATTAACCGAACAATGAAGCCCTAAAATGTGTTTATATGAGCTCATATCAGGGCTTACTTACTTGGTCGTTTCATCGTGGAGCTGCGGACCTGACAATGTGACTGCGCTGGTCTCGCACGTGGAGAAGTGCGCAAGTTTGACGGTTCGTCATTTCCGCTTTGATGGGCGCATGTTTCGCACATGTAGGTTTCGCCGCCTGCCGAGCTGGAGGATAGTAAGCTCATCCGAGAGATTTATACTGACTGGAGTATGGAGGATATTTTGGTAAAAAGGTTCAAATGGATTAGTGTTCTACTACACTGGTATGAATAATCAGTTCATAATTAAACTAAAAAGGAACGGGTAAAATTAAATTGACAATATTAAAGGTTTATTTGAAAATGTGAAGTGATATTGGAAATTGATGATATAATCTAAAATGAAAAACAAGACGCTGACATTTTATCTATTTGATCAATTGCGAGGAAGCCAGTCCTCCAGGTCATGTCATCTTTTTCATTAAATAATTAATTGCTGATAATAAATGTTATGACTGAACGTGAAAAGTAATTGTAAGACTTGTTATTTAATAATGTTTAGCAAATGCAAGATATTTTGCACTTTTATTTATATTTGTATTACCATGTTTTAGTTCACTACTCATATATACTGTATAAGTATCGGCTACATAACTTTATAGCTATTTACATATTGATTTTTGTATATTTAGGGTATTAGCAGCATCCATTGCTTTATTTGTTGTTAAATTTGAAATAGCATATTTGGTACTTTGGCACCTGATTGGAGATGTAACTGTAATGATATATAATCCACACACTGTATACAAACACAATAAGTATAGACTACAGTATGTATCATGGAGCTATGCCACTGGGTTGTTTGTATTTGTTTGTATTATTTTCGATGGCACATTTTCCCACAAAGATGCAGAATGCTTTGTTTGAGCTTCATGCAATAATGCCAAAGCTTGCAGAAATATTAAATATTATAATATATTATAATACTATAATAGTATAATATTAAAGAAGTATTTAGCTAGATGACAAACTGCGTCCCATTTACTCTGTATATCCATACTTTTTACTGATGCTTTTGGAATTATGTAGCTGATAAACTATTTCGACAAAGTACATAATAACATACCAAAACGGCATGTTATACTTTAGATGTGTGGTGACTGGTACATTAATCTACTTTTAGACTTGATGGAGGAGTTTTATGTTTGCGTGAGTTTTTACTTCTTTAACTGTATCATGAGATACGTATTGTGGCTTTATTTTGAAGGTGTAAGATTGTTTTTTGATGCTTTGAGAAAATTGATTTGACAGGAAATAGTCAGGAGACAGCTTTTAACATTTTTATATGCTGAGCTCAGCTGAGCGTTACTGATTACCTCATTTGCAGATCCATAGAGTTTTCAAAATTTAGACATAGATTAATGTAAAATAAATGGCACTTTCACAACATTCAGGCATGTTGTTCTGTCACGTGAGACCCGATTAGAAATACTACAGAATAAGTAGTGTCACAGAAGATCTTTGGGGAACGATGTGAAAGGAGGAGGCGAAGAAGAAGACTTAACTCCGGGTCACGTGACAGGGTCGAGCATCTTTTTGGTCCATTTTGGATGGTAGCAAGAGCGCTGTGCAACCCAAGAAAAATGACCAAACTTCAGTTTTTAAACGTATTTTTGACTGAGCGTCTCATGCTTGCTGCGCAGGAGATCTACAAATCTGTCGAGGACACGATTTTGGAGTACCAGGAGGAGATAGCGATCAGGGAGCGGGAGAACGACCATTTGAGACGCAGGCTGCGAGACGCTGGAATTGAAATATGGCCAGGTTAGCTCCGCTGAAAGCTAACGGTGCAGTGGCGCCCCTTTATGTCCTATCTGCCAACTCTTTTGGGGCTGGCGTTAGGTAGTGTAATGGGAAGGACCGCGTGCAGAAACAATGCAACAACACAACAAATAGTATCAGAGTAATGTTCCCTCACTTCCAAACAAGTTAACTTTAGCCGTTAGCGAGCTAGTTGACTTTAGCTGCTGTTGTTGTGGAGCGGCTAGCGCGTTAGCAACCTTTGTTCGTTAGCCAACCAGCTAGTTTAGCCGACTAGCCTACACCCGGGGTTAGCATATAGCTAACTGTTATATCTGTACACTAGTGAATGTTTTGACACACTCAGTGTACTAATTCACGGTTTATTTGACAGGGTAGGACAGATACACGTGAACACTAACTAAACGGATTCACACTACACTCGTGTCGTGTCATAGTGTTTGTTTACTCCAATTTTAAAACTCCCTACCCCAACAGAGTAGACCCATGGCTGAAACTGCTGTAAGTATTGCTAAAGGTGCCAAATATGTATTATGAGTATGATAAGTATTGCCCTCTTAATTTCAAAACATTTGTAGAGATTTTGTACGTACAGTAGACAAGTCTTTTTTTCGTTAGCAGTGTTAAATAATACTGTGAATGAATGGCATAGTGCACACTTAAAGAATCAAGGGAGTGAATACCTTATGTAGGCATCACATACTGTATTATTGCCTATTATACATACTCATGCTTTCCCCGGACTGTTTTGTATAATATTTAAATAGATTAAACAAGAGAGTCTATTGCTTAGGCCATTATTTTGCTAGGTGAACTAAATGTGTCAGGGTTTTGTTGGAGTACCATTTCTGTTACAGTGTATCACCACACAGTTACACTTTTCTACATGGATGTGTCTAAGAATTGTATGACAATGTGGCGAGTTCAACTCTTTGCGTTTTTGGTGGAAAAAGTCTGGTAAAGGAGTGTTTTAGCGAAGAACACCACATTACTATTTCCATGGTTGGCTCTGCCACAGCTTCTCTGTCTCTCCTGTAAATGGTCAGCACTATAGATAATTCCCAGAAGCAGTAGCTGGTTCACCTTTCTCTGAAAGTATCAACAAACACACCAAGCCATGTAGTTCAACTAGCGTTGCACTATGCAATGTACACTGTTATGTTTACAGCAGTGAAGTTCATATTTTCATCTGATCTTCTTCCTCTTGGTTTGTTCGCAGATCGTCCGTCCATGGCACTGTTGGACGAGGAGGAGGGTGAGCACCCACGTCGTGAGTGGAGTCCCAGCATGGGGCATGAAGAGCGCATCCCCATTCAGATTAAGGATAAAAGAGATCTCCGGGCCAACCAAGGAGAGGATCAGCTCCGTGGCCACGGCTCTTGCAGCACACCAGAGAACTTGTTCACTCCCCCGCGTGTTGTTAACGAGTATCCTCAGGATGGCCCCCACACATCCAACCTCCCTCAGCCTCAGAGTCAAGGTGTGGAGAATAGGGAGAGGGATCCTGCATCTCGAGGCTCCTCGAGGCACGTGAAGATAGAGAGTGGAGGAGGCCACAGAGGCTCGACTTCTTCCAACAGCGGCGCCCAGCCACTCGCACCAGTCAACCCAAACTGCTCAAATGAGAACAACATTGACATTATCGGGGTGGAGAATGGAGGACAGATGGTTGGTGTTAAGGGAAATGGAAGTGGCGCCAACAGAGGACAGGCCTCTCAAATACGCAACCAAGGAGCCAATGCCGTGGACTGCCCTCATCAAAAATCCCCCATTCAAGGCCACATGTCTTCATTTTGCTGCAAGGTTTGTGGTGAGGCGTTTAGTCACGTTGGCCACCTGCACGTGCATGTACAAGTGCACACTCGAGAAAAACCTTATCGCTGTGGAGTATGCGGGAAATGCTGCAGCTCGTCTGGAAGACTCCAGGAGCACCAGCGTAGCCACACGGGAGAAAAACCATTTCGCTGTCAGATTTGTGGAAAGGGCTTCACGCAGATGGCTCACTTGAAGGTTCACATGAGGATCCACACTGGGGAGAAGCCATACAGCTGCCCTGTGTGTGGCAAATGCTTCAGCCGTTCTGACAAAATCAAAAGGCATCTCCAGACCCATAGCCGCGAGGGAACATATTTCTCAGGGCAATGATGCTGTTGTGAAACAGCCCAGTTTGTGAATCATATTGATGAGGGAAACGTCCTACAAAAAGCTAAAATCGCTGCCAATAAAACAAGGCTTTTTTTTTCTCTTCCTACTGTCCAAGAACTAGGGATTCTGCAACTCGTGGAGAAAGTTTCTTATCTAACCTAACACTGCTCCATGCCATAGAATTTGTATTAGCCAGTTTAGTATGTCATTTACTTAATTTTGTATTTGTCACTGAGTATTACATCTCTAAGACACAATTTGAGTTTTTAGCTAGCTTTTCTGAATTATCTAGTCTTTCCATAGTCCTATAATTAGCATGACAAAGTCTTCCACACATGCCTTGAAACTGAGATGCATTGAGAAATGCAACAATGTTCAACACGGTTCACGGCGTATTATCAACCAGTCGCTTCGTATCCATAAGTTTACACTTGAGTTTAAAATCTGCATACTTGACTTCTATCTTGTAATCGTTATTTTACGACCTAAGATTAAGAGTCAGTGCATGAAGTGATCTACATTTTCTCAATTAACTAGAGAGTTGATGGTCTGACAAATGAAGCCTGTGTGTGTCATCTGCCAGCAACACTGCCAGTAGTCCTTTTTTTTTTTTTTTTTTTTTAATGAAGCAATTAAACACTGACACAAAATTTAGGCTAACAAAAAGCCACTGACATGTGCCCATAAACTGTAAGCTTGACTGACTAACTATGAGAAGTCTGACCTAACACTTTTTCTTCTGAGTACTGTTACATTGTTGCAGAGCTGAACACTGCCATCTCACATTGTCGGTGCTTCATGTTGTCCATTGAAATATGGATCAATCTATTGTGAGACTGCTCCACTATTGTGTGAAGTAACGCGATATTCTGTAAAATACCACTGGTCTCGATCTACCATTCATTTTGTGGCGTTTTCTTTTTTTAATGACATGCACTATGGCATCTGTCTGAAACGGTGCATATTTTCACTCTATAATAGGGCCCGACAATAATTGCTTGAATCTATCTGTGGTTCTACAGGGGTTTCAGTCTGCAAATATCTCTGTTCACCTGTGTTTCCACCACAATTTTTCATTCACATGTGAGGTTATTTTTGGAGTGGCCTCGGTTGTGGTCGATTTTCAAGGTGATGGTTTGTTTATTGTGGAATCGGGTAGTTCCTCTGCTCATCTTGGACTGACTCCATGAACAGTCGACCCTACAGTCACCTTTCCTCCTCTCAGGACTAATGCTGCATTCATGACATGAGGGCGTACCAGAAATACTAACGTCTGACTTGAAACGGCTCTTGTAAAAGTCAGAAACTCAGGGTTTGTGTCTTTTCCTGTGGAATTTGTCCCTGATTGTTGCAGACATTAACATGACTTTATCAATTCAAAAAATAACAATTTGCATCTGAACCTCCTGCAAGAAGATGAACTAAAATAAAATATGAAACCTTCAGAGTGTGTCAGAGGTCAGTTGATGCACACTAGTGAACCCTCCTCCGAACGTGATGAATGCAGCATGAGACTACAGCACGTCCTCACAGCTGACCAGCAGCCCTTCACTTACAGTCTTCTGGGACACCTTTGCTCCCCCTGCGCGCACACACACACACACACACTAATGTACAGTGTTGTATCATTGCGTATTAAATGTTATTTTTTAATAAAGTAGTAATTTAGTATCCATTGTAATTGTCTTGTATTATATATGTAAAGAGCTAGCTTTAAGAATCTAACATGAAATGATTTATAGAGGCTAACCTCCAGCCTTTGCATGAGCAGGTCTTCGCATTCAGATGTTACTCTGGTTAGTCGTTTAAGGGAAAGCTCAGGTGTTACTTATAACGGTAACGATGCATCTGTATTCATGTGTTTTAGGGAGTCAGCATGCATCAGACGTTTGAACTCCTTCATTGAATATAGACACAGAACTTTTAATAATTATCACCTGACACATTTTAAGGAAATGTGCCCTTTTCACAGATGGCATGTTGACGTCAGAGTGCGAAAAGCACAAGTGTGAAACAACATAAAAGGACTCGTGTTATTGTGCATGCTGGCTCACTGTCACGGCTTACTGGGGAACTTGAATAGAATAGATCACCATCGTTTATGTTGTTAGAAACACCTGTGCCTTTCCTACTATGACAAGTCAAAATGTCTGCTGTAACAAATGCCCATTGGAGATTACATCTTTACAACAAAAAGATTGGTTCCTATAAAGCATCTGTGTTCTATAATTGTAGTAACAGCTATACAACACCTGATGGGGTACTTTCCATTTCAATGTGTTTAATGCGTTAACTTGACAGTAGTTTTAAAATTGCCACCTGCAAGGTCACATTTTCTAGATGTTTATTATCCGAGTGATTGATTAAATGCAATAAGTGGCTTTCCAACTATATATCGACCTAAAATTAAAAGCAATTAAAAGAAAACGTTATTAAAGTAACCACCGGAAACTGGAGTTTACCTTAGCCATCATAAGATCATAAAGCCTTGTGGTATGTTGTCACAGCCCGGCTCTAAACGTGACAAAAGCAGTATATTAACCAAAAAATAAATCGATATAAGTTAAATAAATGAATGGGAGGAATCTGTAAAGTCAGTAGGATTGGATGTGGGAAAATGTGCTGTATGGGTGTGGAGCTGTAAAAACAAAGACAAGCAACCAAAAGCCACAACAAGGGTGTGGAATGAGAGGAGATCTGCCAACAACTTCTGCTGCTCGAGCTTTCGTGCATGGAGCACACCGGGTCCAGGTGTGTCAATGACACTGATAACTCCCCATTCAGGGCTGCAGCTCTGGAGAAAGAAAGCACACAGCAGAGGAACCGTACAGAGGGGCCCGTCATGTATGTTCAGTTGCTCTACACATTATGAATTCACTGGCAACTGCTAATGTAAACGGTTGTATGCAACCTTATGCTGGAGCATGTTTTTGCACATGGCAGCCTCCATGCTCAATATATTTGAGGAAAGAACATCATTTAGAGAGAGAGAGACAGTCACTGAGCCTGAACAAGCTTTATGCTCCAGTTAATCTTTCAGAACGACTACAAAATGTTTCCAATTCTCCATCATATTTGTCTTATGAGATGTGAAGGAATGCTCAGTTCTGTGGCATTTATCATGGTCATATACAAGTATATTATGTTTCTATGTCGACTATAAAGCAGCCATGAATATTGAGACAAAAGGCAAAATGATGGAGACTTATCAGATCACACTTGCAGTGCGATGTGACATCTCCTCAAGGTGCTGGCAGGTAGGAAATGGTGGATGCACTCTACAGGAACAGCCAGGAGGTCGAATGTATGAAGTCAGCAGACTGAGGGAGATGCAGATGATATACTACATTCATTTTAAACTAGCTCCCAAAAATAAGGTGTTGAGAAAAACATCCCTTTTAGGGCAAATCATCCTGACAATCCAATGTAACAATCTCTCTACTCTGTTATTGTATGATTACATTACCCAATCACAGGCAATCTGGAGGCTTTCCAGAGGTTAATTAAAAACCGTCGGGTAATTGATATTCATACAATTTGTGATTCAGTTTCAAATTATGAAAATAAAATTAATATATTCCCTTACTCGAGTGGTATCTAGCAAGCAGATAGTTTTGACCTTATTTGCCCAACGTTTTTACATCTCTGAAATTACTGCTTAAAAAAAACAACCTTTGAATGGAATTTGATTTGAATGGAAGTTTGATTGGGATTTTGTAGTACATTTATAAATTTAACAGCAACCTCTCTTTCCAAACTCAGTCTCCGTGTTTCTGGATAGTCCACAGACTTTTGCGGTTAGCACTATTCATCTGGACTATTTCTTTGGCTGAAAGTAGCTCAACTGTAAAATGATCACAGCGAACCCGTTTGTCATTTCCACATCACCCTTAGGCGATTAGTTGCACAGCACCGCAACAATACCAACAGAAATACAATGAATTGAATTTCCATGCAGCTAATGAGCTGATATTTCATTCTCTATGGCTGATGTCTATGGATTTACCTTTGCGAATGCATTCATATAGTCTTTTCAGCCAACCTATGTAAGACATTTTTATCCAAAATAATATAACAACTTTAAAGGGGACATTTTGAGCAACCGCCATCTCCTTTATACCTAAAATGAGCAGAGAGCATCAATACTGACAGAGGTTTCAATGTCTGGCAGCTGGTTACTGATTGATTGAGCGCTGAGATGAGAGTGTTCTCCACGGATCTCATTCAAATGTTGATGGATCTCCAGTTTAAGCATTCTGTGAAGATGTCAGTTTATAGCCCAGACTGGCATGAATATTAAGTTTCATGAATATGATTTGTGGTCAGTAGCCGCAGGTATCAGTCATTTGCTCTCATATATTTTCTAAACGAGCGTCTACATTACCTTTGTAAATAGATCTCTGACCATCAATTAATATATTTCAGCCTTAGTAACAGCAATTCATCTTTAACAAATGAATCTAAGGTACAAGACATAATCTGTATGTATTACACAACACATACTGTATCTGGTGTGTAGATAGATAGATAGATAGATAGATAAGTACTGTATTATAGTGTATGTTGCACATGAGTATGGTTTTCTGTCCCTGTTGTTCCAGATATACATGTTTTCTGAACAAGTATTGACTTTTCTTTCACTCCAGGGGAGCAGCATTCATCTGTTGAGAGTAGCCTGCAGGGAGTCTGTACAGCTTTATTCTCTGGCCCTGCAGGCAGAGAGTTTCTCTGAGCCCAGTATTCACTGGACTACATAAAATGGGAACATAGTTTTGCATAAAGCAAGAATTAGTCATCTACTCTATTTCCTGCAAATATGTTTGTAAGTTCTCTAATCTTTTTAGATGACTGAGAGGAAGCTATGTGTACCATGGGGTTTCATCAGGAACACATAAATCATCATTTAAATGTCAGACAGTCTCAAAGGTTTAGTTTAAGATTTTGGGGAATATGCGTATTAACTTTCTGTGTCATCACTGTGAGTTTGCAATGCAACCATCTGAGATTCCCAGAAGGCACTGCCTCCTGCCAAGAAATAGTGTGGCACATAAACCCTTGTTAAAACTACAGCTTTTTGTCTTCATGTACAGATTAAACAAATGAGATACAACGTGTTAATCAGTGAACTGTGGAGAAGATGGTCGATGAATTTTGTTACATCTGGACAGAGTTGTTTCCCCCCGGTTTGCAGTCTTTCTTTTGAGTTAAAGATAGATAGATAGTTACTTTATTATTCCCACAAGCAGCATTTATAGACAGGTAAAGCAATAAAAATAACAGAGTAATAATATTAAGTATGAAAATGCACAATATATACAATAAAATAGAATAATATTAAATGAACTAACTAAACAATATTGCAAAGATTTAACCAAACAAACAAACAACAGTGTAACAGTGTTATAGTCGTGCGATTGATTTGTCCAGAGGTGATTTATTATAAAGTCTAATAGCAGAGGGCAGGAATGATCTCCTGTATCTGTCCTTGTGACAGCAGAGCTGGATGAGTCTACTGCAGGGAGGTAGGTGGTGGTGGAGAGGGCTGTCCGGGTTATCCAATGTGGATAATAGTTTCTTTGGTGTCCTCCTCTCCACCACCGTTTCCAGACTGTCCAGTTTGCAGCCAATGATGGAGCCGGCCTTCTTCTTAAGTCTGTTGGTGTCTCCGGCTCCAATGCAGACCACGGCGAAGTACAGTGCACCGAGGTGTGCTGTGGAGGTTTCTTGGAAACAAACAAAAGCTATATTTACATTCAGTGTTTCTCATCAAAACTCACTATATGTATACATATGGGTTTAACAAATATGATTCATGTCTTTCCTTCCTCATATATAAATAAAGAACCGTCGGTTATTCAATCAGATGGTCGAATCTCTTATTGCGTGATGCTCGCTGATCAGAGTTTAGTTTACCACAATGACAGCAGATGTGTCATGACAAAATGTCTGCTGGCAAATATTTACTCAGATGGAGCCAGCAGAGCAGTTTTTATTAGGCGGTTGTGGAATTATGTTTTGTAAATACCAACAAAATGGCATTCTGACATTAAACTGATGCTCACTTGCTCATAATAATGTAATGTAGAAAAGTCACTACTTTGTTAGTTATGTTGATTTATGTCAAGGGGAATGTTTTTTGGACGATCTCTCTCATGTCAGATAACTGGCTGCTGCTTATGAATTTGGCAGTTGGCTGATTCAGAGTTTTTGCAGCTTGACTGGAGCTATCAGTTCTCTCCTGTCGGTTATTGGGCAGACGATTCAGGTCAGCCTACAAATCTGTTTGACTGAATAAGTGGAACAGGCATAAATCACAAAAGTTCCTCAATATTGCCAGACATTTTAGATCAGAACAATTCATCGTTGTCCCATCGTTAAGCAACTGTGTCCAAAAACTCCATGATAGAATGATCCTGTTAGGGCTCTTATTTAGACATCACACGTT